GGTAGTGGTGGCGGCGGCGCGGGCGCCGGCTCGGGCTCCGGGTTCGTGGGGGCCGGGGGTCGGCTGCCCAGCCGGGTGCTGGAGTTGGTGTTCTCCTACCTGGAGCTGTCCGAGCTGCGGAGCTGCGCCCTGGTGTGCAAGCACTGGTACCGCTGCCTGCACGGAGATGAAAACAGTGAGGTGTGGCGGAGCCTGTGCGCCCGCAGCCTGGCAGAAGAGGCTTTACGCACGGACATCCTCTGCAACCTGCCCAGCTACAAGGCCAAGGTGAGGGAGCCCCCAGTCCCGCTCCTTTGCGCCGCTCTCACCGCTGCTTTTCTGAGATTCTGAGTCCGACGCCTTGCCTCACCGTGCCACCTTTCCGTCTCTCCAGTCTATTCCTTACCTCACCCCCCCATCCTCTGCTTTTTGAAGTTCTCCTTTTTAGCTCACCCCACTTTAAAGCCACCTTAACAACCAGATGGTTCCCAGTTCTGCGTGTCCATCTCTTATTCTACTTTCCAGAGTCTTTCCCCCAAAAACAGACCACTCCCATTGTTGTGCCTCACAGTACTCCTACCCTATTTTTCTCTCTGCCCCCCAGGTAGGCTTTATTAGATCATCACGGCTGCATTGACGTGGGCTTCGGGTCTATGGTCTTGTCTTTCATCCTACATTCACCGCTCTTTAGCCAGGTTCTGATTTTTAACCATTTTTTTCTTTATGTTCATCCACGTTTTTAAAAAAAAATTCCCTCCACTATGTTTCAGGCTAATAAGTGAGGCTCTAGGTTTTCTGTTAACTTTCAAGATACAGATTTTAATAGGGCACCCTGCCATAGGCACCACTTAACCGTCGTAATATCGCCTTGCCTCACTGTAATTGACTACTTTCTTGCCAACTTTTCCGTAATTCCTTTTTGATGGCGTGTCTCTTCTGTTCAGCGTGTAACTTGTTATTTCCAGTTTTGCTGCCTTTTTTTTTTTTTGCCCCTTCTAGATTCTTAACTATATCGTTCTTTTCTTCATATGCAAATAAAAATGTCAAATAACAGGTTATGGTAAGGCTGAGAGGATTCTTAGGTAATATCAACAAAAGGCTGTGGACTGGTTTCTCTTGGATGGGTAATAATTAGTTAAGTAGTCACAAAGAGCATAAATATAAAAGGGCATAAAGTGTAACCTAGAATGTAGTAAACAAACAATACAATAAAATCTAACAAAGGCAAGTATCCCATTTTAATATTAGATTGACAAGCATGGGGGTGGCAGAGTAAATTTTTTCCTTGTGAAATAGAGGTAAAAGTGTTCTTATGTAATACAACCGGTTTTAATTTAATAAAAAGTATTGCTGTTAAATATGTCAGCTAGCAAGTTATTTTTCTATTAACTGAAAAAATATGTTAATTTACTATGACAATATTTGTACATGATGCTTAATGGACTAGATGGATGTTTAATGGGTAATAGACGATTGCAATTTTTTGCCTTACTCATAAAAATGTAGGTTTCATAAGCATTACTTAGTTTTTATTTTTCCATTAAAATTTGCTATTTTTACTTTAAATGAAGATATTTTTGTAATAAGTTCACATGATTCTTACTGTATGTGATAATGTGTTCATGTGAGTCAACATTCAAAGAAACAAAGTGGTATAAAGCAAAATGTACTTGTCCCCCAGGTATTCAGTTTCCTTTCTTGGAGGCAACTAGTGTAACTGTTTCTTTTGTATTCTTCTAGAGGTGGTTTAGATTTCTTAAGTTTTTAATGCTTTGTGTGTCTTTCTACTACTTGTGCTATAGGTATTGTAAACTTGTACTAATCACATCTTCATTGGAAAGAAGGCAGATAACTTAGTAAGAAAGTCTTCAGTCTGCAAGAGAAAAATGATGCATGGAAATAACTAATACATGGTAGAAATTGCTCTTACAGTTGTCAATATAAACAAATATATATTTGAAGTACAGTGGATGGAGAGACTTAGGACTGGAGAAGTTTTGAAGTTCAAGTTGTATTTGAGCTGAATTTTAAAGATGGGGAAGAGTTGAACACTTCACTAAGAGGAAATAACAAAATCAGGACAAGAGGAAAGAAAAGGGGTTCATATGTCATATATTTTTGTTTAAAAAAATGAGTGTCCAGAAATTATTCTCAGTTTTGCAGCTTGAATGATGAATAAAAATAGACACAAAGTCTTATGGATGCCTTCTGGTCTTATGAAACTTACAGTCTAAGCGGGTGGTGGTAATTGGGGGCAGGGAGATCAAAATACCACACAGCTATAGAGTTGCATCTGTGTTAAGAACTATGAAGGAAAAATACATAGTGCTGTAAAGATGAATAATGGATAATTTGACCAAGTTGGGAGGTCAGGGGAGGCTTTGTCTGAGGAAGTAAAGTGTGAACTGATACCTGAAGGTTAAGGATAATTAGGCTAAGGGGAGAGAACAGCCTTCCAAGGAAGGGACCTGAGGAGTGACCTGAGTATAAATCAGAAAATGTAAGCTGGATTTAAGATGGAAGAGGTGGGTGGAGGCCAAACAATAGGGAAGCTGTTTTGAATTGTTAGCAAGAAGGGATTAGTAGTGAGATGATTGGTGATACGATTGTTTGCATTTTTAGGAGGTTATTCCTAACCTAAATCAGTTTAGGGGATGGGGGTAGAATCAGTAGATCAACTAGTTGTGATGGAGGAGGTACAGAAGTATAGCAGATATTTAGCATGTAAAATCTATAGGATTTGGCAATAGATTTGAAATTGGGTGACCAAGAGGGAGGTAGTAAGGATGAACTGCTAGGTATCTGGCTTACTTAATGTAGGGACCACCTAGATTTGGGAGGAATAACTCTGAGTTCAGTTTGGTAGAGTAGAATTTACAGTGTTTTTGAGATGTCCAGTATATTTCAGTTAGGCCTCTGATATAGTTTGGAGCTTAGAGGAGATCCTTAAAAATAAGAAATAGTTGGGAATTGAATTGAAGAGAAGTAGTGGGAAATAATGCCTGTAAGATAAGCTGACATTATATATATCATGAAAGTTTGTAGTGTGGCTTTGTTTTACATTTGGCAACCATTGAAGTTTGAACAGAGGAATGACAAAATAAGAACTGACTTAGAAAAAGTAGGCTTTGAGACGAATTGGTGAGGGAAAGGGCTAGTATCTACACCAGTCACTTAAGACCTGAAACAGGTGTATAGAGGAAAGAAGGGGATGGTTGAAAAGCTGTAGCAAAGAACAGATCCACCACATGCATAAGACAGCTAATTGGATAAGTGGGAAATTCAAGTAGAATTTCCAGGACATCCAGATAACTCAAGAGAAGGATGGGAATAGACTAGGAGATATTTTACTCACTACTAAGTAATGTCAGTTATACCTGGTATGTAACTGTAATTATCTAAACTTCAGACTAAAATACTACATTAGATCTTAAAACTGCTGTAATTTAAAATCCAGGTTGTGTCAGACTGGAACTATAAATTGTTTTTATTTATTATTTTGTGTGTTTATTTTTGCTAATTCATGTATTTTCCATTTTACCTGATTTTTCAGTACTCTAAAAGAGAAAGGGCACTTAACATATATAATCCCATTAGCTAAGGTATAAAGACATTCATAATTACTTAATATTAAAAAATAAAGTGAACAAATTTCCATTTGTCTTATAAATGTCCAATATTGAACTTTTTATTTTCAGTTTATTTAATCAAGATCTTTTAAAAGAGTCTGTGACAGTTGAAAAATCTTTTAAGATTATTTTAGTCTGCAGAGTCATCTACCATTTCCCCCACCTTCCACCTTACAACTTAAGCCAGTTTGTTTATCCTGTGGAATTTATCTGAGTCTATTTTGTTGATTTAATTTCTTTTTTTTTAATTATTTATTTATGCATACAGAACTAGGGTACAGGTAAGAGATGTGTGGAGGGTGAGGGGATTCACCAGAAACAGAGTGGGGAACAGGCAGATCCACTGAAATACACTGCTAAGGGGAGCGGTGAGTGGGTCAGGAGAGGTCTGCTGTGCCATGTAGGTTACCTCCCTGGTGGGGGATTGAACTCATGCTATAGTGGCTTTGATAGCTTCATAGTGCTATGCTTTATTTAACCCCTTGCGCCACCAGGAAGGGCCCACTGATTTAATTTCAATGGTGATGCTTAACATGCTTTTCTGTCCTATATTTCCTATAGATGTTTGATGAATGTAGGTTAGATTAATTTTTTTTTTTAAAGATTTATTTATTTATTTGTGCATACAGAACTGGGGTACAGGCCAGAGGCTCAGGGGCGGTGAGAGGCTTCACTAGAGACAGAGTGGGGAGCAGAACAGGCAGATCGACAAAGGAAGTACACTGCTGAGGGAAGCAGCGGGCGGGTCAGGAGAGGTCTGGCTCGCCATGTGGTCTCCTTCGGGGCAGGAGGCAGGCGGGAATCGAACTCATGCGGAAGCGGCTTCAGATTCTCAGTGCTGTGCTTTAACCCGCTGCGCCACCAGGGAGGGCCGGTTAGATTAATTTTTATGAGATATTTTAAATTAGAATTAAGTGGCTGGATTGTATACAGAATTATATTGTGTGGCAAAAGTGGGTAGGAATTCAGGAGAGAGAAATCGGGGGGATTGGGTTTCCTTGATCAAGAATAGATTGATAAAAAGTGGTAGGACTGGAGTTTAAAAGAATATATGGGATGAAAAAAGAGGGTGGAATAGTAAAGACAAGGAAAACAAGCATGGAATTAGAATTTGAAGTAGGAGTAACCAGATCTAGGGGTCAAACTGGGCAGAAGAATCTACAATTGATGGGATAGTCAATAAAGTAATATCAAAGGTTGTTGAACCGGATGGAATATAATAACAGCTGTTTTTAAAAGACAAGTCTGGAAAGAATGCTGGTACTGGGCTAAGGACTGCTCTGGAGAGTTTGGATTAACAGAGCTAGGATGGTCACCAAGAAAGGACATAATAAAGTAACAAGGAGATGTCAAGAGTATCAGTGTTGGTAAAATAACAAAAGAATAAGGATAGAAAAAAAGCAGTTGGTATTTATAAGATTTGGGGCCGAGGCAGAGGTATGTATCAAATATTTTTATAATGAGGAGTTAGTTTCTTGATAGTAATTTCTCGAGCTGTTATTTAGGCAGTACTTAGTATTTCAAGGAACATTTACTTTCCCATTTAACCCTATGTTCTGATCTTTTAGGTGCTTAAAAGGACCTAGAAGTATAGATAGGAACAAATTTAGGAATACTTTAGTTTTACAAAAACATGAGATATCTGAAGCACCCAGATTTTTTATTTTTGTTGTTCAAACCCTCTCTGCCTTGGAATGCAACAACAAAACAGTGAACTGCTGGCTAATAGCAAATGAACACTGGATCAGGGGACTGAATACCTGACTTCTCTTTGTGGCTCTTATACTAACTGTATATTACCCTTCTCCCTAAGATCTAAGATGTACTAAGTCATTTCTAAGGTCCTTTTTTTTTTTTTGGGGTTTTTTTTATTTACGCATACAGAACTGGGGTACAGGCCAGAGATGCAGAGGGTGAGAGGATTCACCAGGAACAGAGTGGGGAGCAGAACAGGCAGATCAACGAAGTACACTGCTGAGGGGAGCAGCGGGTGGGTCAGGAGAGGTCTGCCATGCCAAGTGGAACTCCTCCGGGGCAGGCGGGGATCGAACTCACGTGGAATTGGCTTAAGCTTCTTAGTGCAGTGCTTTAACCCGCTGCTCCACCAGGGAGGGCCTCTTAGTGACTATTTTATAAAGTCTAATGATGGAATTTAGATGCTATTTGGCAGATTATTTGTGGTTATTTAATATTTTCATAAACCAGAGCTGGTGTTAGTAAGTTCTCTATTTTACATAAATATAATGTTTTTTGATAAAACATTGCCAGCATGAAAATTATACATCTCTTACATGTTTATGTAAAAATATCAAATGTCAATAAGAGTAGAGAAAATAACTTAATGAACATCTTTTTTATATCCTTCACCAAATTTTAACTGGTTATGGGTAATCTTGTTTAATGTTGACCCCACAGAATCTCCTGCTCTATCTTTTGATATTTCAAAGCAATTCCAGAGGTCATCTTGTCACTCATGAACATCTCAGTATTATCTTGAAATATAGAAATTCTTGTGTATATCTTTTGATATTATAAGAAGGGTATTTGGAGGACTTATATTATGGTATAGAATTTGTTCAATAATGAAACAGTTGGCAGCTATTTTTAATGATTTATGATTTCTTATATTCGTATAGCCACTTTAAAAAAAGTTTGTATTGTTAAAATATAGAACTTGTTTAAAAGCATATAACCTAAAGCTTACGTATTTCTTTATGTTTGAGAAAAATCAAAATTCGATTTCTTTGGTTTGTTTTTCATCTCTTCAGGTACGTGCTTTCCAACATGCCTTCAGCACCAATGACTGCTCCAGGAATGTCTACATTAAGAAGAATGGCTTTACTTTACATCGAAACCCTATAGCTCAGAGCACCGATGGTGCAAGGACAAAGATTGGTTTCAGTGAAGGCCGCCATGCTTGGGAAGTGTGGTGGGAGGGCCCATTAGGCACTGTGGCAGTGATCGGAATTGCCACAAAGCGGGCACCCATGCAATGCCAAGGTTATGTGGCATTGCTAGGCAGTGATGACCAGAGCTGGGGCTGGAATCTAGTGGACAATAATCTACTACATAATGGAGAAGTCAATGGCAGTTTTCCACAATGTAACAATGCACCAAAATATCAGGTGAGAAACTGGGTATTTTCATAGATGTACACCTTTGTTAAATCATGTTTAATTTGTTTTAAATTTACAAAATATATATACCTGTTTTGTGTGTGTTTTGGGTAATTTTTAAATGTTTTCTTTGCTAGTTTAATAATTATCATCTGCTATCTCAGTATTTGTTTCCTAATACATAACTGGCCTTGAGAAATCCATCTTTGCTCTAAGGGGTTCATACAATTTTTTATATACAGGGCGAGGTAGTAAATACTGCAGGCTTTGTGGTCTCCATCACAGCTGTTCAACCCTTGTTTTAGCACAGAAGCAACCATAGATATTATGTAAATGGATGAGTAACTGTGTTCTAATAAAAAATTATTTATGGGCTATAGGCCAGATTTAACACAGGAAATATAGTTGTCCAAATTAGGTTGTCGATTGTCATCTTATCCTAACATGGCATATCCAGATCTATTTTTTTTTTTTTTTTCATGACACTTCACCCCCACAAATGTACCTGTGTGCATGAACACACATACCCAGTTTCTGCTACTTAGTAATCTGAATTCAAAGCTTCTGGAGAGGTCAGTGATTTCTATAAAGCTCAAGCAAACTACTATATTTTTAATTCTTTTAATCTTAGCTTTAAGCTATACTCATTTGATTATAGTTCCTATTTGTAAAAACTATGATTACCATAGATTCAGCAAAGTCTAAAACACAATAATGTAACAAGAAATTGGAAATTTTAAGGTATTACAGATTGCATATTTCAGGACAACATGTGGCTTGAATGCTCAGTAATGGCATCAAATCAGGAATACTAGAGCAAAAAACTAAAATATATCCTTTTTTCTGAGATATTAAAACCTGGAAAGATTTCATAGAATCCTTTCCTTCCTGTCTTTTAGGCTCTGCAAATACTAGGGGTGGAAGAATGTCTGGATTTAATAATTATTGAAGATAAAGTCCTGTGACTAGCCTTACATAAATGAGAAACACTAAAAGTTTTTCAGAAAGCATGCTCTGTATGATTTCCATCCCCTTCCTTTCAGTTTATTGGAAAATGATCTTTCCTTGCATGTTGTCTAACTTTTTAAAGATTTATTTATGCATACAAGAACTGGGGTATAGGCTAGAGGTGCATGGGGTGAGAGGACTCGCCAGAGACAGAGTGGTGAGCAGAACAGGCAGATCTACTGAAATACACTGCTGAGAGGAGCAGTGGACAAGACAGGAGAGGTCTGCTGTGCCATGTGGGTTAGCTCCCTGGCTGGGGATGGAGTGCATGCCTCAGTGGTTAGTGATAGGTTGGTAGTACTGAGACTCTGACACCTGCACCACCAGGGAGGCCCCATATTGTCTCTGTCTATGAATCTTCCATGTGTGCCATTATATTGAATATTGTATAAATGACAAGTTAGTTGATAGTGTTCAAGTCTTCAACATCAATATTGATTTTTCTTTCCCCCTGTTCTATCATTTCAGAAGACAGTTGTTAAAATCTCCAGCTATATTTGCTCATTTATCTCTGTTCTTTCAGTTATGTCAGTTTTGATTTCATGTGTTTTAGAACTCTGTTAATGTACATATATACATTCATAACTGTTGTATCTCATTGACTGGTGTATGCTTTCATTATTTTTTTAAAAAAGATTTTATTTTATTTATTTATGCATAGAAGAGCTGGGGTGTAGGCCAGATGTGTGTGGGTGAAACGATAAGATCTTTTTTTTTTTTTAAGATTAATTTATTTATGCATTACAGAACTGAGGTACTGGCCAGGAATGCAGGGGCGGTGAGAGGATTCACGAGACAGAGTGGGAAGCAGAACAGGCAGATGGACAAAGTACACTGCTGAGGGGAGCAGCGGGCAGGTCAGGAGAGGTCTGTCGCACCACGTGGGTCACCTCGGTATGGGGATCTTACTCATGCTGAAGTGACTTTAGCTTCTTAGAGCTGCGCTTTAATCTGCTGCACCACCAGGGAGGGCCAGGGTGAGAAGATTTACCAGACAGTGGAGAGCAGAACAGGCAGAAGCACTGAAATACACTGCTGAGGGGAGCAGTGGGCAAGACAGGAGAGGTCTGCTGCACCATGTGGGTCAGCACCGTGGCTGGGGATCAAACTTGTGTTGTAGTGGCTGCAGATAGCTTCATCGTGCTGAGACTTAACCCCTTGGACCACCAGGGAGGCCCAACTCTTTCTTTATTATGAATGTCCTTTGACTTTAGTGATGTATTCCTAGTACTTAAAAATATATTTTGTCTAATATTAATTTAGTTATTCTAACTTTGTTACTTTGACTGTTTTGCAGTGCACTTCCCCCCATCTCTTTACTTTTAATCTATCTCTGTAGTTAAAGTAGGTCTTCTGGACAGTACGTAATTGGGTCTTCCTATTTAACTACATTAACAGTCTTTGCCTTTTGATTTGAATCTTCAGTCCACTTATACTTAATGTAATTGTTGTATTTTTTGATGTTGGGCTATGTCTGTGCCTCTGAAGCTGTGTTTTATTTAAACAATTTCCACTGAAATTCTCTGTCCATCCTTTAATTAATACCAAGTTTTTCTTCATTTATTTGGGCTTTATTAACTGGTTTGAAGTTTAAATATAATAACTGCTTTGAAGTTTTGGGGATATAATCTCCAATTCCACTATCTAGGCCCACTTGGAGTCCGTTTCTGTTGTCTTTTTCTCTCTCTGAGTATCAGTTGTATTTTCCTGTATCTTTTCATACCAGTAACTTTTAAATTGAAAACTAGACATTGAAGGTAATGTATAGAAGGAACTAGAATGTTTTCTTTTAGTATACAGAATCTGCTCTTAAAATTATTTTTCCTCAGGCCCTCCCTGGTGGCGCAGCAGGTTAAAACAGCACTAAGAGGCTCTCCACAGCCACTATAGCATGAATTCAATCCCTGGCCAGGGAGCTTATCCACATGGCATGGCAGACCTCTTCTGCCTTGTTCACTGATCCCCTCAGCAATGTATTTCAGTAGATCTGCCCGTTCTGCTCCTCACTTTGTCTCTGGTGAAATGGCTCATCCCCATACCTCTGGCCTGTACCCTAGTACTTATATACATAAATAAACAAACCTTGAAAAAAATCATTTTTACTCACCCCCATCCCTTATAGCTACTTGTCCCCCTCCCTCCAAACCTCAGAGCCGTCATAGTGTTTATTGATGCCTCTGAATTTTGAAAGTGTTTTATTTTACCTGTTTTTTGTGTTACAAATTTTCTGCTATGCAAATGTCCAGTATTTTTTTCTGTTGTTCTGACTTGTTTTACTACACATAATTCTCTCATACCCCCTCCAATTTATTGAAGATTACTGTATTTCATCATTTATTGTAGCTACATAGTACTCCATACTGTAGATATATTATCTTCTTGATCTAACCATCTGTCAGTGGTTGCTTCTGTGTCCTAGCTACTGTACATAGTGCTTTTATGAAGGTTGTAGACAGAATGTTTATTCTGCAGAGACACTGCTTTGTTTTTCTGAGAAGTACAGGTTTTCTTGTTTTAGTAAGTTGTTAACTTGCATGAACTAAAAATGTAAATCCATGGTGTACAGTACCTAATGTTTAGGGGTTTTGTGTTTCTAGTAACTTCTTTTTCTGCCTGGTTCCCTGAAGAGTTCTCCTGTGACACTGTGTTACACTAGTATCACAAGGCTTTGGGCAAAATTTATTCTCTGGTTTTGGGGTTCTTAGTGGTTCACCGCTTCTGAAGTTCCTCCTATAACTTTCTAATTGCTGTGCCATCTCTGACTTTTTGGACTCTGACACCTAAACCTAGTAAGACTTCTGCTTTCTGTTCCCTGTATTGCATATCAAAGATAAAGCAAACTTGCAAATTTTGCCAGGAGCTGGTCTGTCTGCTTTGTTTCATCTTCCATAAAATAGGGTTAACTTTTAGAGTTGAGGGCCTCCCCTGGTGTCGCAACAGGTTAAAGCACAGCACTGTAAAGCTTTCCAAAGCCACCACAGCATGAGTTCAATCCCTGGCCAGGGAGGTGACCCACCTGACCCATGCGCGGCAGACCTCTCCTGACCCACCTGCTGCTTCCCGCAGCAATGTATTTCAGTGGATCTGCCTATTCTGCTCCCCACTCTGTCTCTGGTGAATCCTCTCAACCCCCACACTTCTGGCCTGTACTTGTATGTATAAATAAATAAATAAATCTTAAAAAAAAAAACTTTTAGAGTTAATGTGAAGATTAAATTAGATAATATAAAGCACACAATAAATAGCCAACAAAATACTAAATTTTCCTGTATTTTCAATGTTTGCTTTGTTTGTAGCAATAGTGGGTATGATGATGTGGGGGTTTATAGGTCCTTGGCCCAAGAGGTGGGCCAAGGTAGGGGAAAAAAGCAGATGTTAGCAGTAATTTATAATTGGAATTACAATGAAGTAAGATAATGGAGACAAGTGGGATTAGATAAAACATCTTTACTTGTCTACTTTTTCAAATGGAAGATAACTGGATATTTTATACTTCTAGTTTAATTTAACAGTAAGCGCTGATTTTTTTATAATAAATAGGTATATCAGAGCGGTGGACCGCCAACTGACTAGTAAGCCTATTCTGCATCTTTAGAATTTTTAGTTAGATTTGGCTACTCATGAATATGTAAGTTTCGTATCACATGTAGAACTGCTTTATAAACTTAAAAAGCTATGTATTTTATTATATGTATATTATTATATACAAAATAATGTATTTTTAAATTTTTTATTGTGGTAAAATATACGTAATAAAATACTTTAATCATTTTAGGTTATGCAGTTCAGTGGCATATAGCTTCAGTGTTGTGTAACCATCACCATTTTTTTAAAAAGATTTATTTATTTATGCATACATAACTGGGGTACAGGCCAGCTGTGCAGGAGCGGTGAGAAGATTTACCAGAGACAGAGTGGGGAGCAAAACAGGCAGATTGAAGAAGTACACTGCTGAGGGGAGCAGCAGGTGAGACAGGAGAGGTCCGCTGCTCCATGTTGCTCACCTCTGGGTTGTGGATTGAACCTGCACCCAAGCAGCAATGGCCAGCTTCACAGTTTGCACTTTAACCTATTGCACCACCAGGGAGGGTCGCCATCACCACTTTCTATACCCCACCTTTTTCTTCATTCCTAACGTTAACTCTGCACTCATTAAATAACAACTCCTTATTTTTCCTTCTCTCTGCACACCCCTCCTCAGCCTCTAGGAACCTCTGTTCTACTTTCTGACTATGACTTTGAATATTCTAGACATCCCAAATGAGTGAAATAATGTATCTTCTTGTGCTGACTTACTTGGCATGTTATTTGTAAGGTCTCTGTCTTACATCATATCAAAATTTCATTTCTTTGGCTAAATAATAGTTCATTAGATACATACTATAGTAACTTGAGAAGGCTATTCAAGTAGACTTTTTTGGGAAAGATATGCAAGTTACAGGTAATCATTAGTGGTAATCATTTAAAGTAAAACCTTCAAACAATGAGTAAATAAAATCTGGAACTATATAGGGGCAATATTTATATTTTCAGTATTAAATACAGATGTCATGCAAGTTTTAAATGACAAATGCTATCAAAATAAGCATTTGTGGGAAAACTGATAAGCATTTCATCTATGTTTTCTCCCCTGACCAGACCAGAAAACCATCTTCTCTTTTTTTCTAGATAACTTTTTTAAAGATTTATTTATTTATGCATACAGAACTGGGGTACAGGCCAGAGGTGCAGGGGAGTTGAGAGGATTCATCAGAGACAGAGTGGGGAGCAAAACAGGCCGACTGTTGAAGTACACTGCTGAGGGGAGCAGTGGGAGGATCAGGAGAGGTCTGCTGTGCCATGTGGGTCACCTCCGTGGTGGGGATCAAACTCATGCTGAAGTAGCTTTAGCTTTTTCGTTCTATGCTTTAATCCTCTGTGCCACCAGGTAGGGCCCCTTTCTAGATAACTTTTAGGTATGTGTGTGTGTGTGTGTGTGTGTGTGTGTATAATGTTTTCAACTTGTTGATATGTATCATCTTTCTTCTACCTATGCTCTTAATAAGTTTTCTTTTAACCTTCTTATGTCTGTTTTCAGATAGGAGAAAGAATTCGAGTCATCTTGGACATGGAAGATAAGACTTTAGCTTTTGAACGTGGATATGAGTTCCTGGGGGTTGCCTTTAGAGGACTTCCAAAGGCCTGTTTATATCCGGCAGTTTCTGCTGTATATGGAAACACAGAAGTGACTTTGGTTTATCTTGGAAAACCTTTGGATGGATGACAGTGGCTTTGTTGGAATGAAAGACAGAGTGGAGGAGATATCTGCTTATGGAAAATAGAATCACGAAGTAACAGTGTCATACATGCATGCCCAAGAAACATCCTGAAAACCATGTGAAATTGTTAACTGGAGAAGCAACTCTACAGCAGAGATTATCTTAGTGTTTCCTCTTTCTACTGGGCCAGAAAAATCCTCAGGGTTGCAGTTGGTTGAGTGGGCAGTTGACATATGCATGTTACAACAAATTTTGTCTCTAAGTTAGCAATGTGTTATTTCCAACTTTTAAGGTGAGATTTTTAGGAAGCTATAAAAGGGAAAAAGATAAGGAATTAGCAAGATTTTAAAGTAGTGTGTTTGTGAAGAAAGACTGATCCTGTTTTACAACTGCCTGTTTTTTCTCCAGACCCTTTGTTCCAGCCAGCTTGACTATCAGAAAAGTATGAAACTGGTTGGGTTTTATTTAATATTTTTAATATATTGAGAAGCATGGTCTGCCTGGACTGCACTTCTCTACTGGTGAGATATAAAATTGTGCAGCTATTTTAAAAGTTGTATATAAATGTGTGTGTAAAAAAAAAAAGGACAAAGGATTGCTTTGTTCTAGTTAAATTTCTTAAAAACCACTACATGGTACAAAATTAGAATAACGTTTAAGGATGATTGAGTAACTACAAAGAAGAGGATTTTAAGATATGTGTTATATTGGCTCATTTTGTATTACGTTTGGCTTACAATTTCCACAGCTATTGTAGTCTTTTTTTTAAACCATCAAAAATTATTGTAGAGATCCCTCAATCTCCTGGTTAAAGATTGAGGGAAGGCAAATCTATTTCCAGACGTACATATATCAGTAATAATAATAATAATGTGCATCTTAAATTATCTGATTTTATTTTTTGGCCTTGTCTAAAAGTGTCTCATAATGAATGTTGCCATTTGTTTTTATAGACCTCAAATATGAAAGCTGTTTGTCATATCCTAGGAAAAGAATTATGGTCTTTTTGTTTTGTAACTGTATAATGCTGTAGATACAAATTTTTTTTTTATTTCATATTGTTTACATCATGCAACAACCTAAGCCTCAAACTCTTCATTGGGGTTATCAAGAAAATGTTTACTCACCTGTCTAAAACAGTGCCAACCTGAATCTAGGTTAAGAATATTCTTAATCTCATTATAGGTAATTGCCCCTATGGGACTGGAAATAAAACACCTAATGTTGAAAACTTCAGGTTGGCAGTATTTTGAAGGTATCATCATAGAAGAACTTAACATTAATTCCAATTCTGGATTATTGACTAAAAGTCAGATTTCACTAATACTCTTTCAAATTAATAATCCAATATACATGAGCTAAGATCTTTCTTTTGTTTAGAAGAGAAACAGACATCTTTCTGTATGAAAGTATAAATTGTATGATTTCAGATACAACTTTGTGATAAGAATTGACTAAGGCAAATGGAATCTTTGTACTTTTTAGGTTATTATTGTATGTATATTTTGTTTTAAATCTAATAAAATTAGGGACAGCAAGCAGCTGGCTGGGGTTCTTGGGTCGCTCCTTGAGAGATAAGATTATCAGTACTCCTATGAAGCAGGGAATTTTAGTCATGAACAAAATTTTATTTTTTGCCACCTGAGAGGTTTACAAGTATTATTGTGTAATATGATATCCCATGTTAAGAAGAAATCTGGAAACCATATTTAATAATACAGAGTACAGTTATATGTCAAATGAATTAGAGAACATGGTACATAATTTTTCTTGGTATAGGATAACTCAAAAAATGGGCAAAGTTTAAAATTTAATTGAAAAAGAGGACTGATTCAGGATAAAGATTGAGCTAATTAAAAAATAAAGTCCTTTAAATACTTGTTTCTTTTTCAGCTTGTGAAAGGGCCAACTCTATAAGAGCTTTTGCTGAGAATTCTGTTTATAATTTCTGTTTTGTCTTATTAGTAAATATTCATTTGTAATAGTTTTGATGGTGCTGAATGGAAAACAGAAACACATGATTTTTGCCTGTTAAACCTAGAATTAAAGTAATGGCCTAAATATTTAACAATAAGCCATTCTTATCTCTTATCTCAAAGATTTGAATTCCTTAATATCCTACTTTCAGATTTTATAAACTGGTGGGTCATAGTTAGCATAAGCACTAGCAATGAAAAGCCTTTATTTATAACCCCATACATTAATTTGCTACTGGAGGCCAGTAGTAACTATACTAGACAATGAAAGCAAAGTGCTGTGTTCAAGGAAATCAAATCTTGTTTTCTTGGGTGCTGATAAAGCATTTAGGTAGAAGATAATGGCTCCTGAAGATTGAATATAAATTATCTAAACCAGTGGTTTTCAATCTTAGGTGTACTTCAATGTGTTTTCAAAAATATTGATGGCTTGGATCTCATACACTAAGATTCTGATGTTGGTCTGGGATGTGGCATGGCCATAGAATTTTTAAAAAATTCCCAGGTGATTTCAGTATGCTGCCAAGGTTGAGAGCCACTGATCTGAATTCATCTTAAATGTTCTCATCTGCAAAAAAAAAAAAAGAAAGAAAGAAAAATCCTTGCTCCCTCTCTTCACTACCTCACAAGGATATTGAAGGTAAAGTGGAAAATACTGGGTTACAGGAAACTGCTTATGCTATGGATTAAAAAGTGCTATTGAAAGGCAAAGTAGTTTTGTTATATTTCAATTGAAATTATGATTTAAAATGTATAATTGAGTGTTTTATTGATTTGGGGCACTGGGAGCATTCTCTGGTTCTTTCGTGAAGCATGCAGATGTGTAAGCAAACATTACTATTCTTATATGTACAATGGTCTTCTATCATTTTTGAGATAGGCTGTTTTAATTATCTGGTTTTACATAGGAAAGAAGAAATATTAAGGCTTAAAGTCTGTATTGGTTGGTGGCTCAATTCATTAAAATTTTTCATACAAAGAATATATGTCATTTTCATGGTTGCCATTTTTTCATTATCTGACTTTTGAATGTTAAACCACTTGTCACTTGTTTTATCTCCATTCTCATTCATGTAAGTTTAGATGTAGACTTGGTGAAATACCTAAAGCAGTTAGGCTTTGCCCAGTTGAATCCTTAAAATCACGGCTCAATGATAAAGCATCTTCTGTCTTTAGATATGATTTAAACTTGGGAAAGGAATTTCAGAAATAACAGACCTAAACCACATATGGTGGTAGTATAGTTTAAGTCCCCAAACTGCTGCTTACATAGATTGAAATGTTAACATTTTTTTAAAATGAACATTTTGAAGAGGAAACTTCAAAAACTTAAGGAGTTTTAAGGGTTAGTTGAGAAGACTACTTTCCAGAAATGAAGACCACCACAATTGGGACCACTTTGAAGTTTTCCTGGAAGGAAAAGTCATACTCAATCCAAATGATAACATCATAGAGCATTCCTCGATTCCTCTAGTTGAATATAATCTCTCCTTCCTTGAAAGTTTTCTATTTTTTATCTGTACATAACACATTTCATATTACTTTATACCTTGTATAAATTTATTGTTAATTTGTTGGTATCTTCCCAAAATATCTTAGGACAGGATCTCATGAATTCATTATTATGGCCACATCTCTTAAGCCCAAAGCTTGGTACTTGTGTATTTATTGAAGGGAAAGAAAAAGACAAAAGCTCCTTTTAAGTTATAGACTATGTTAACAAGACAGATGAGGAAACACTGTGTCCTGTCCAAATGAAGCAGAAAGGAAAGGATTGTAAATCTGAGGCTAGTAAGGAAGAAATAATGACTGTGAATGTATTTTAGTCAATCCCCTTTATTCTTAAATATTGGTAAACTGATTTTTAGTTCTTGGAGTAGATTTCATATTTGTTTAGAATTATGTATTTTAATTTTTGAAATTCTGTTTTGCTTTAGTTTCTTAATAAAAAATTAAAACAAACATTAGCCACCTGTGATTGCTTATATTTAAAACAAGGAAATTTAAAAGTATATACATTGGCGGAAAAATGGGGACATCTTAGTAGCCAGTGCTGATGGATTTTATCTATAAATTCCATAACTTTTAATAACGGGCTCCACGTTTCCCATGTTTAGAATGGAATGTGGGCTGAGTATAGTAATTCACTAGATCCTGTTCCTCTATTATCTCCACCCCCAATTAACAGTTGTTTGATAATACAGTAGTTTGCCAAGAGTTGTAAGAGGAAGGCATGGCTCAACAAATGGTTCCTGTGGTCTAAAAGCTTAAAAAATAGTTGTTGAAAGTTGTTTGATGTGTTACTATATTAAGGTGTATTCAAAGACTTCAGCAGCTTTACCAGCCTGTTGTCCTAATTTCTTTTTTGGATTGTCCCCCAAACTGTTTGCTTTTTATTTAATGTTTTGTTAAAATATTGTTGAAAGCAACACGTTTTTTATTCAGAATGTAGTTATTTTAGGATTTAAGGTTGTTATGTGTATAGGGTTTCCTGATGAATGACTCGAAGTAAGTCTCAGGGTATTTTCTTAGGTCACCCTAATTAGAGGCATATTTATAAAGAGAATAAGTCATATTTTATATTTTAACTTGCTACTTAACTTGCTCATATTATTCAATCTATGTTTGAAAGATCTTTTATTCATCTATGCCCCTTTGTTGGTCACCTTAATCTTTGAGTGAAAGTGTGCCTATGATTGGAAAGAGAGTAGTTATGACTTCTCTCCACCACACATTAAAGTGATCCTGTTCTTGACCCAATTGCCCAGAACAGTAAAGGGTCATGAATGAATGGCCACATCCACCCTGCTGAGCACAGCCTACTGGAACAGTGGGTTTAAGTATCTATGAGACTGTCTCCCTACTAGGTGATTCTGGATTTTATGTGACTATAGCTGAAACGTAGTCACTGAAATTGTGAAGGACCTCCTTGCCCACCCAGCTGCTAGACTCTCAGTACTGTAGAAAGAATGAAAAAAGCCAAAATCATAATCGATGAAATATTTTTATTTACTTATATGTACTGGGCTCTTGCCATGTCCAGAGATGTAGAGCTGTGGAGGAAAACAAAAAGTTAAAAAACTATCTGTTCTGAAGTTTTTCACAAGCTATTAGAAAGCAAATATGGAAATAGGCTAGCAAGAAATGGTTGAGTCACTGTTTTCATTGGGTTAGGTAACAGTTTCAGTGTGGCATAAGAGAAAAGGGAGTATTTGAGGAAGTAATCTGGAGTGATATTCAAGCTAAGGGTTAGAAGATGTACAGGAGTTAGTGAGGATGGGTGTATTCTAGGCAGATGGAACAGTGCTATATACAGAGGCACTGGCACATCCTGTGTTTATGGAAACCATGCATGCTGGAAGAGTGATGGGAAAGATGTGGACCAAGACACCAGATTATAATTGCTATGTAAAATGAATTTCACTTCATTTTTCATGGGGAAGTCATTTAAAGGTTTTCAGCAGGACTGGCTGATTATTCCAATTGTAAAGGCAGCAATAGGTGGAAGAGGAGTAGGCAGGATTAAATGAGAATTTAAACAAAGGTGACTAAAAAACTATTCAGATACTCAAATGAGCACCACTTATTTGTAGAGATTGAGGCACTTTCTTTGGCAAATACATTTGGGAGAATGATGGTACTCTTTTTTTTTTTTTTTTAAGATTTATTTATTTGTGTATACAGAACTGGGGTACAGGCCAGAGACTCAGGAGTGGCGAAAGACTTCACCAGAGACAGAGTGGGGAGCAGAACAGGCAGATCGATGAAGTACACTGCTGAGGGGAGCGGTGGGCAGGTCAGGAGAGGTCTGACACACCATGTGGTCTCCGGGGCAGGCAGGAATCAAACTCATGTGGAAGTGGTTTCAGCTTCTTAGTGCAGTACTTTAACCTGCTGCACCACCAGGGAGGGCCAGTACTCTTTTAAGATAGGGAATCAAAAGGGAGAAATTAATTGGAGGGGATGGTGGAATTTGAAGTAAGAAGTTTTATCACCAGGAAAATATATATATAGAAAAGACAAATTTAGCCCTATACTGAGAGCAGGTCAATAGCAACCAGAGTTAATACCTGAGATATTTAATAGCCTTTTTGTTGGTCCTTGATGATCCTTAGTGAACTAAACTTACGCATTTAGTCACTTAAAAGAAGTCTTATCAGTATTCTTTCAGGGTAGCAATGAAACCTGTGTTAAATCAAAGCTGAGAAGCTGCACATTTGGTTGATCTTAGAGTCAAACTTTTTGCCTCTTTGAATAAAAAGGAGATAGAATCATTGAAAATTGCTACAGTAAAAAATTATAAAATCTGGTGTTGTGGGTTCAATTATGTCCTGCCCACCTGCTGCAAATTCCTATGTAGAAATCCTAACCCTGTGTACCTCAGAATGTGACCTTGTTTGGAAACAAGGTCATTGCAGATGTAATTAGCTAAAGTGACACTGGAGTTTGGGTGGATTTTATTAAGCAGGTGTGATTGGTATCCTCATCCAAAGGCAATATTTACACACAGACAAAGAATACCACATGAAGCTGAAGGTAGAATTGCAATGATGCAGAGCAAAATTGCCAGAAAACCACCAGATGCCAGGAAAGAGTCATAGGACAGATTCTTCCTTCACAGCTCTCGAAAGAAACCAATCCTGCCCACACTTTGGTCTCAGACTTCCAGTCTCCAGAAAGCAAGATGATAAACTTTTGTTGTTTAAGTCACTCAGTGCATGCCATTTTGCTTCAGCAGCCCTAGGAAATGAACATGCTGTTCGGTTTACTCTGTACCAATGTTGCCTTTCTGGAGACAATGTCAATGTTGTTTGATTGTTTACTGGAACAAGAGCTAAGGCCAGGAACAATTTTAGGGGTGTTAGAGATTTGTTGGAAGGTCTTTTGTCAGGTTGCATCGATAGCACTGTTTTTGTAAAGTACGTAGTTGCAGTCAAGGGCATGGATTCTACAGTGTACTGCCTCATTTCAAACCCTAGTTCTACCTGTCATTAGCTCTGTAGTTTTGTGCAGGACATTTGATTTCTTATGCTTCAGTTCCCATATATGTTAAATGGGGGTGAGGGAGGTAGTGCTACCTCCTTTAAAGGATATCATGAGGATGAAATGAAAGGCACAATGAGCTGCTAAGAATAATGCCAAAAACACAGTAAGCACTCAGTTTACTTCTCATTATGATTAGTGAACCTTTCTACAATAGGTAAGTATCACTAAGAACTGATTATATTATGAAAGCTTTTTTGGCTTGTTCTGGTGGGGTTTTCTGTATTTGTAAAAAATAACATTTAAACTCATTTGGTCTTAATATTAGAAACAGAAACCTATTAAAGTCTTCTAAGTAACAGACACTTGAGGTAGATTAAGCAAAAGGAATTGACTTTCCAGATACAGGGTGCCTCACAGAGGTCAATAGGAAGAATGCAGTTGGTTGCATATGACACTTGGAAAAGGCAATGAAAAGCCACCAGGATTTGGGACTGTCACGTCTTGTGCCTGAGGCAACTCTTCACTCTTTCCTTAAACTTTCTTTTTTATATAGTAAACCGTGTAGAAAATGACTTTCTATACTTCTCTGCCTTTCAAAAGATCAACCTATGTTAAGAATGGATCCCCAGTCCCAATCAAATTTCAGAAATAGAAAGGTCATGTCCTTCTGCTAGTCTGATCAGCAGGGTCATCAGCAGGGAGCAGGTTCTCTACCTACTAGGTTGTATTTCGTAAACTGCCCGAATCCCAGCCCCATGACCAAGCAGATGAGGTGGAGGGTGAAGGAGGTAGGCAAAAGCAGTCACAAAGAGAGGCTGGGGACTGCACAAAAACACTAATCAACATGTTTTCGTTTTAAAGTTTGGTCCTATAAAGAGTAGCACTTTCAGGCAACCCTAGAGAAAGAAAATAAAGGCTGCTGAAAGGGGTAAGGAGAAAAAGATACAGAGGTGTGAAGACAAGCCCATAGAGCGTTGGAGATTTGGAGCACGAGGACACC